GGTGTGCCAGCCACTGTGCAGTATGCTATAAAATGGTATTATCCCCTCGCACTTTTGGAATTGATCTGAAAAAGTCCAGTATGGCGGACTATGAATGCTCGCTGTGTGTTATTGTGATTATAGTAACCAGTGATTAAAATCCCTGTTAAATGTTACCCCCGTTTATATGAAGAAAAACGTCGACCAGAAGGGTCGCTCGCCTACCCGAGTTACCCTGGGCGAGCCAACTTTTCATACATTTCCTTACAAAACTTGAACTGTTTGCATGAGAAACACCGCCTAGCCGGTTCACACTTTTTCGATGGTAGGGCCATCCCCCTAGCCGTGCCAACTTGTCTTTATATAAACACTTTGGCTCGCCTAGCCGGGTCATCTCGGTCAAGCCCGCGCGAGCACTGTTGTTAGCTCTTGACTCGGGCACAGGGACCAACTTTTGTTCTCATATAAACGCTTGCTATAGTTGACTCTGCTGGGCGGGTGACCTTCTTTTCCGGGACGACTTTCCTCCATATAAACAGGACCTGGGTTTTATGACTACTATCGTAAATCTTGAACCCTAGCCTCCATAGCAGTCGTAACCGTTTCTGAGAAGCGCGGAACCGAAGTGTTGTGTGACAATAACTGCTTTAAAGAATACTTCTTGCGTCCAAGGCTGCTGCCTAACGGGCGCCCGGTCGCCAGAGGCGCCCAAGGTAAGAGCATGGGCGACCAAATTTCGGTACAAGGAGCCCGCGCGGGCGCCTGACTTAACACACGGCATTAGACTTAACCTCCTTGTACATTATATTCCTTTAGCTGGAGTAGGACTTTAAACAGTGGAACTGTTGATATGGTTAGCGATGATGCGATTAGGCAGTATAAAATTTCCACAAATAAACCGTAAATTATGTAAACCTAACGTGTTCAACTGTGAAGCTTTGTCGAAACGAACGAAGCCATCGTTTCCGAGTCCGGATGGCAGTTGAAGACTGGGTCTGAGATTTGACTTCCAAATATGGAATAGCAAAATTATGGGCTGTTTGTTGCCTATGTTGACATTCGTGCAGTTCATCGTTTGCTTGGGTTTTCGTCGATTTGATAACTTTTTTGTGGCGAGAATGGGAAGCTATCTTGCGTGCTATCGACTGGACGTGCTTGATGTTCGATTTCATGTACCAGTTTGCAACGTATGAAAGTAAATAATTCGGTTAATTCTTGTTTACGTGTTATTTATTAGGCCCGGCGAATTCTTATTAAAGTGTGCAAGAACCTCTATAACCTATGTAATGATCTTGGAAAAACAATACATGGATTTCAAACTGGGCTCC